TATTATAAGTTATATTTGACTTTCATTTAGGGGTTATTTGAGATGACATAAACAAGTGTATTTTTTTATCTTTTTATGAAAAGATATACAGAAAAGTAGAGAGATGATGTGATAGAAAAAAGATAAAAAGATAGATTATTTTGAGTATGTCAAATTTGACCTTAATAATGGTAATTCATTAAGTTTTATTGTAATATCATATATAAATATATAAAAAAAAAATTAACCAAAAACATTATAGTAGATTATCTATTAATTTTTAATTTGATACAAATTCTACTAAAATAAAACTTATGCCTCATTTGGGAACATGTTAATTTAGTAACTTTTTAGCTATTTGGCTAAAATATGAGTTAAAAAAAACGAGTACGTTTGAGATAACTTTTTGACTTTTTACGAAAAGATGTGCAAAAAATAGAGAGAAAAGAGAATCTTTGACTTTTTAGTATGGGTTGTTAGCTTTTTGACTAATTTAGTAACTTTTTAACTTTTTGACTAAAAAAGAGGGTTCCCAAACTCCTTTATCATATTATTGTAAGTGAATTTGAAAATTTTAATTGTGGGTCTCTAATATTTTTGCTAATAATCTATAATAATTCTAGATCAAACAACTTACAAAATGCAAATACAATTTTGTTTCTTTGAGTACTCAGGATTGGTTTTTTTGTTTTTGATTTTTTTTTGAAGTTTTCAAAAATTAATTTGATAAAAGAAAATAAATTAAATTAAGGCATAGGGTTTATAAGTTGCTTCTTATTCTCACTATTAAATATTTATAATCCTTCATAGCGAACAATTTTCAAAATTTAAAAAATTTGCAATACTTTAATTTTTCAAAAAATAAAAAAATAAAAAAACCAACTCATGTGGTCCCGAAATTTCTAAAGATTTTTAACAAATTTTACATTCCATTCCACTCCAACAGGATCTTTGCTAAGTGGGAAACAAACAATAATGTGAGACAACCTGTAAAATTGAATGTACTTTCAAGCCTATGCTTTGATTCGTTAATTGAAATCAATTGAATTAGGAGGGACAAAACATCTAGAAGGAGTAAAAAAAATCATTTCAAAAATAGTTCCGATTTAGAGCACTAAGGCTTCGTTAGGGAACATATTTTTTTAGTAATTTTTTGACTTTTTAGCTAAAATATAATGTACAAAAAATTAGTATGTTTGGAATGATTTTTTGACTTTTTACGAAAAGATGTGCAAAAAATAGAGAGAAAATAGAATTTTTGACTTTTTAGTATGAGTTATTGGCTTTTTGATTTTTTGACTAAAAAAATCACTCGCCAAACGAGTCCTAAATCAGTAGCTCTAAAAACACCACTAATGAGCTGATAAGTGTCAAAAAAAACAAAAACTAAAAGGCAAATTACATATACTTCCCTTGAGATTTGGCTAAATTACAAATACCTCCTGAGGTTTCAGAAATTACATCCAGCCCCCTAACGTTTGTATTTTCATAACAATTTGTCCCTTGAGGTTTAAATTTCATAACAAATTAACCCATAATTTGTTATGCAAATATAGCATTCAGAGAAGAATTTGTAATTTCTCAAACCTCAGGGAAGTATTTGTAATTTGGCCAAACTATCACATTAATAGTGTGGTCCACATGATATAATGTCATTAATGATGCGTTAGTAGTGTTAAATTAATGGTATGAAACATTTTTCGTTCAAAAAAAAGTTGTTCCAGGCTTAATTATCTCACCACCAACAGGGGGTTGATCAAGTGGATAAGACCTTTGAATCCCTCGCTCAAGGCTTGGGTTCGAGTCTCCATAGCTCCTTGTTGGGATTAAACATACTCTTTAGCGCTTGGAGCACACAAAGGCCTAAGTTTCGGCCCCGATGTAGGTGCGGTAGGGTTCCCTGCAAATATGCTGTAAGTGCTAAGGGGCAATACTCCCTGGCGGATATGTTGGAGTAGCCTATCTGCATATCTATTTGTTGAATCAAAAAAAAATAATAATAATTATCTTACCTCTTTGAATTAATAAATATTTATCTCTATATTATTTTGTCTAATCTCGCACCTATTTCCCATTTTAAATTTTTTGTAAGACAAATCTTAGATTAGACTCATTGTAGTTTTACAAAATTTTATTCCTTTGTATAGTTTTATAAATTTCTATATCACTCTCTATAATTTTATATACATTTGTTTTATTAAAAACTAAAAAATTACTACAGCCAATTTTATTGTAGAAAGTGCTAACCATGACAAAGAAGAAATGTCGGATATGTTTGGTTTGTATTTGGGAGATGAGTTTTAAAAAAAAAAAAATTAAAAATTGTTTGGTTTGAGTTTTTCTTAAAAAATTTCTAAAATCACTTTCTCTCTCTTACACATCAATCAATCACTTTTTCTCTCTCCTCTCTCCTTCTCAATCACTTTTTCTCTCACACACATCTACTTAAATTCTCCCAAAATATCAAATCATCTCAAACTCTCAAAAAAATAACTCTCCCAAAATATACAACCAAGCAAACCAAAAAAATTTCTAAACTCTCTCTCTAAATTTTTTTCAAAAACAACTCTCTCAAAAACAAACCAAATAAGCCAGTCATGTCGCGTAGTTTTTTTGCTTATTTTTTATATTTTTTTCGCTTATTCATAAAATTATTTGGAAATATGAAAATAAACACTTTTTTTTTTTAAAAAAATTGAAATTATTTTAATGTAATATCATATCACTTGTAAAATTGTAAATTGACCATAATATGTTCATGTAATTTTTATTTTTATTTTTATTTTTATTTATTCACACACGAGGGAATTTTAATAATTTTGTTTGTTGGCTTATTTTTTACATTTTGTTTTTTTAAATACTTTGAAATTAAACACATCCAAACAGGGACTAAGTCCTTTCCCTAGCTAAGCCACCATGTCTAAAACCAGGAGAGCTTTGAGTAGCGTTTGATAGAGTTTTAAAATTATGATAGAGTAGAGTTTTATCTTGATGAGTTTGTAAATTTTGAAATTATAATTTGAAAATAAAAAATTTGTTTGATTATGAATTTTAAAAAGAGTTTTGAATTTTTGATGTGACGTATAAAATGAAAAAACTTGTTTAATTATGAATTTTGAAAAGAGTTTGAATTGAGTTTTGAAAAATATTTCAACACTTAAACCAAAAACATAACTCAAAACTTTATTGAAAATTCTATTCGAAACCCATAATCAAACTCTTTTTAAAATTCAATTAAAAAAGTAATTTGTCATTTTGGTCTAAAAAAATAATTTTATATTTAAAAAATATCAAAAACAAATATATATTTTTTTTTTTCCAAATAACAAGTGGTGATTGATAATTAAAAAAAAGAAAAAAAAAAGAGAGTACTGTTCCGATCAATTAGCCGGACGACCGACCGAACATCTGAGAAGATGTCAAGACAAACGACCAGATAGACTAAAAATTCAAAAACTATCTGATTTACCAAAAATATTTTTAAAATGTGTTTTAAGAATTGATTTAAAATCATAATTTAAAAATCTCTACCAACAAATATTCAAATATAAAGATGAAAAATTAATTAGAGTTGTACACCAAACACGGCCAAGTTTGGGAAGACTAAAAAAGTGCACTTTTTGTCTTTTTGGACTAAAAAATTGAGGTTGAAAATATGGATGTTTGGGTTAACTTTTTGACTTTTTATTGAAAAATGTGTAATAAAAAAATGAAAAAATTGATTCGTAGGGTGTAAAAATTGATTTGTAAGGAAAAATTTGAATTGGGAGTTGTGCAACCGTAATTGTTGACTTTTGGTGAATAGTGTTAACTTTTTAACTTTTTAAGTAACTTTTTGACTTTTTTTAAAGTCCCCAAACTTGGCCACAATCCTAATTTTTCCAAATGGGTCATTCGCAACAACTATAGCCTCAGGTTGATCAACTCCAAACTTGGCCAATACATTTGCACAGAGATTTCTTTCTTTGTAGACGTATAATGCAGTGCATTGACCGCCGTTAAAAATTATTCTTTAAGTCTATTTTTAGAAGATAATTATAATTAATTTTTAATAAAAAATTAATTATAAATAATTTTTTTATGAAAAAAAATAAGTTATAATTTAAATAAATTATAACTCACTTTTCAAAACAGTCCTTAATCTTCTATTAAACCTCCGCATCTGTTTCACCACTTCAACGTTTCAAATAGGTTCAAATAAATTAACTTTTGACTTTTTAAAAATAAGCGTTTTTTTTTTTTCCTCCCAAAATAGTCAGTAATCTAATAAATTGTAAAAATAAAAACAAAAATAAAAATAAAAAACGAGAATCGTGTGATGAAAGCCAAGTGAGTAATAATAGAAAGATGTAGGGTAGTCCATAGATGTAGGGTAGTCCATAGAGAATAATTAATATTTTATGTTCATGCATATCATCTGCATGTAGTGTGCAGTAAGTCCAAGGTCAGCATCGACTACAGACCACCACGTCACCCCCAAGAACCTTACAGCCTGGCATCAAACCTCCACTTCCAACGAGTCAGGATCTCTCCTTGAATTTCCCTTGATTTCTTATTTGCTTGCTTATTAGTTTTATTTTTAAGTTCAATTTTGATAATTTAAATTATTTATATTTTAAAATTTATTAAATATATTATATTTATAAAAAATTAAATTAATCAAATATTATAAATCATGTGTTCAGATCATCAAATAAAAAATTATTTTTTTTAAAAAATTAATAAACAGTTTATTGAACACATATTTTTTGATATCCGATTAATTTGATTTTTTGCAAGTATGATATACTCAATAAATTTTAAAATTTGAACGATTTCGATCTCAAAATTGGGCCTACAAGTAGGTCCAATGACTCAACAAGTAGGAAATCAAGGAAAAAACTCAAGTAGAGGATCGTGATTCACTTCCAACCACTTCCTTCCACGTGGCACCCCTCGACAAAGCACAAAGCGCCTCTCCTTCTCCAGCTGTCCCCACACCTCTCCCCCATACCTTGTATAAATACCCTCTCCCCCAATCTCTCTCACTCACTCGACTCCACAAATAAAATCCCCCCTCTCCTCCCTCTCTCTACGTTTCAAAAAACTTTGAGCTTAATCATGGGTTTTATTTACAATTTCGCCACTCAATCTCCACTCATTCTACTCTTCTTCTTTATCAGCACCACCATGGTTTCACCATCCCACTCTGCTCTAGTAAAGCAACAACCGCTGGTTCTGAAATACCACAACGGAGCTCTACTGAAAGGCAAAATCGCAGTAAATCTAATTTGGTACGGCCACTTCACACCAACCCAACGCTCCATCATCGTCGATTTCATCAACTCCCTCAACTCTCCGGCGAACCCACTTCCCTCCGCCGCAGCCTGGTGGCGCACCACCGCCAACTACAAAGGCGGCCTCTCCACCCTCTTCGTCAGAACCCAAATCCTCGACGAAACTTACTCCATGGGCAAGTCCTTGAAGGACATCCACATCAGAGCTCTGGCTTCGAAAGCCGCGTTCGGGAGCTCCGTCAACGTCGTTTTGACGTCAAAGGACGTCGTCGTCGATGGGTTTTGTATGAGCCGGTGCGGGACTCACGGGTCGGCGACGGTGAAAACCCGGTTCACATACGCTTGGGTGGGTAATTCGGAGACCCAGTGTCCGGGTCAGTGTGCTTGGCCGTTTCATCAACCCATCTACGGCCCACAAACCCCGCCGCTGGTGGCGCCGAACGGCGATGTTGGTGTCGACGGCATGGTGATCAACCTCGCCACCGTCGTGGCCGGCGCTGTGACCAACCCGTTTAATAACGGGTATTTTCAGGGACCCGCTACGGCTCCGTTAGAGGCGGTTTCGGCTTGCACCGGAATGTTCGGGTCAGGGGCGTACCCGGGTTATGCGGGTCAGACGCTTGTGGATAAGATTACAGGGGCGAGCTATAATGCGCACGGGGTGAATGGGCGTAAGTACTTGTTACCGGCTATGTGGGACCCTCGAACATCTTCATGCTCGACGCTGGTTTGATTTTGGGGGTTGGAAATTTGAAAAAGATGAATGGGAGAAATGATTGAGTGTGGGGCATGTGTACGGATGTAGATATACGAACTCACGCACGCAAAGATATACATGAGTATGCGTTTGGGGTTTTTTTTAAAAATTATATTAGGTTTGTCGTTTTGCTTGACGTGTAAATTGTGCCTAGGGTTTCACGAAAATGGGCGAAAATGTAAGGATAAGGAATAAATTATGAATAATAAATAGTTTTCTACTTTTTATAGAGTTCTGGCTAATAATAGTGTGTTGCGTTGGTTCTTTTATTGAGGTGGACCTTTTAGCTCCAAAATGAAACACACCTTGAAAATGTACGAGTGACTTTCAAATTCAGAAATTATTATTATTTATTTTTTTTCAAAATTTAATGGCGTTTGGTATAATTTTTATTTAAATTTTGTGAGGTGAGAACAATTTAAATAACTAAAAAAGCTTGCTATTGGAAAGTGTGAAGATTAGGTAATGTTTGATTTAGTTTTTAAGAGCATCTTCGATAGTTTATCAAATTTTTTACTAAATCTGAGTGAAAAAAAAATAATTTTTTTAATCTGATACAGACTGTTTCAATGATTGTCATCAAAGCAGGGATTGATCAGTTAGTGTATTTTTTTTTTTTATATCTTTTTGAACCTTTTAACCTATTTGAAACAACCTATTTTCAAGCGAATCGGTCGATCGGTTGGTCAATTGACTGGTTGATCGGTTGGTTTCTCCCAACGATCACGCACAGTAAATTGGTGAAATCTTCTTCCTGTTCTCATTTTGATGAAAAATTTGGTGAATTCTCATTTTGATACTAATTTGACGAAACCATTGGAGCTGTAAAAAGTGACTTTTTTTATTAAATTTTAAATCTAATGCAAGGTTTGGTGAAGTGTTGGAGATAGTCTAAAACATGATGTAGATCAAAAAAAATTTAAAAAAAAAAAAGTTTTTGATTAGCAATTTTTCAAACAAAGATGATTTGTAGCTCGACTATAAGGAGTTCGAATGGCTTGAATGTATTGTCAAGCTGTCTCACTCTTTTGACTGACGCGCAATGCATTCTCTCTCTCTCCTCTATTTCTCATACCCCAAAGGCATTCATGTTTTGGCAAAGCAAAGAAAAATATAAAAGATATGCTCTGTTAGTTTCGACGGAGAAGCATTCATGTTTTAACAAAGTAAAGGAAAATACAAAGAAGTGTCCCGTTGTTTAGAAAAATGATTTGAAGACAAAGTTTTAACAATGAATCATCAACAAAACAGTTAACAACAACGAATCATCAACAATAATGAAGAATTAATCCAAAAAACACTCAAAAAATATTTCAATCATCAATTGAAAGGGGAAAGAAAAAGAAAAGAAAAAGAAAACTCACTGCGAGAATAAAAAAATAGAACAACCCAATCAAAAATCATTCAAAAAGATTGTGAGATTCTAAGCAACCAAACGAAGAAAAGAATCAAGTAAAATGGAAATGGATACCAATTTTTTTTTTTGTCAATCTCTCTTTCCTTTTTCTGAAAAAGTTATCTTCTCTCTCTCTCTCTCTCTCGCTCTCTCTCCATTGTCTCTCTCTATTTCATTTCTTCATTGCAGACCACCACCGACGACTGCAACCCACAGCATCGCAAACGCCAACCACCATACCATCGCAAATGCTGACCACCATCAAGTTCCCCAATTTTTAATCAAAACTATCTCATAAAAATCAACAATCCCAAATTCAATAAATAAAAGAAAGGGAAAAAAGAAAAAGAAAAAGAAGAAGTCTATTTTCAGTACTAAATCAAAAGATTTTCAACTAATTCAAGCGATCGTTTACTCTCGTGTTTACTCTCGTCGATGATCAATGGTTTGAGAGAGAGATCGTTTCTTCTCATTAGTGAGCAAAGGAGATCGTCAGTAGTGAGTGAGTAGAGATCATCGGCGGCGCTGAGCGAGAGATCGTCGTCGATCGACGGTGCTGAGCGAGAGATTGTCAGCGGTCGACGATTTGAGAGAGAGAGAGAGAGAGAGAGAGAGAGAGAGAGAGCAGAACTGTGAGGCGTTTCAAAAATAGAGGAAATAGATGAGCATGGTTTCACATAAGTCTAGGCAACTATGCGAAGCCTGCCAACACATTCGGGCCATATGGGGGCTTTCAATTCGAGCTAGGTAGTATGATTGTTTTTTAAAATAAAACTCAAAATTCAATTTTCTCTCCTCTCTTCTTTTTTTTTTTTAATTAATAAATCAATCATCTTTTTTTTTTATTCTTTCACATTTTACACATTAATCAATTAAATTTTTTCTCACATCCATCAATTCAATTAAAAAAAAAATTACAAAACATTTCAAAATTATTTTCAAAACTTTACAATCAAATAAATTTTTAAACTTTTAAAATTCTTTTTAATAATTTATCTTTTAAAACACAATTTAAAACTCATTTCAAAAACTAAACCAAACGAAGTCTTACGTTGTGTTTGGTTGAGAGATTTGAGAAGAGATTTGAAAATAAAAAAGAAAAAAGTATGTGAAATTATGTAAAATATAAGTATATTTTATTCATATTTTACCTATATTTTTCTTTTTTCTTTTAAATTTTTTTTCAAATCTCCTAACAAAATACAGTGTTAGTGTTTTTAACTTTTGATCCTGATTATTAATTTTGAATTTGCAAAAAATTACACTAAATAAGGTCAAAGAAGCCCAAAGTTGTTGACTTCATCGTTTAGAAACAAGTCAAGATTAATGTTGTGTTTAGTTGAGAAATTTGAGAAAAAATTTCAAAAAAAAGAAAGAGAAAAAGTAGATAAAATATAAATAAAATATACTTATATTTTATATAATTTTATATACTTTTTTTTTCTCTTTTTCTAAATATGTTTTTAAATTTTCTAACTAAATACAATATAAAAATTTGTGGCTATTAGCTCATGCTCAATTATTGCTTTGCTACAGGAAAAATTGTTGCTTTTCTACGGGGAAGGACGTTAGATATTTTTGTTATTAATTTAAATTTTTTTTATGTGTTAACATACGTATATACTAGTATATGACCGTACCTAAAGGTACGTTGTAAATAATATTGAGATCGAATTATATTTGTAATTTATATACGTATCATGTTAAAACATGTGAAGTCTGTAACATTTTTTCTTCTTAAAGAACTTTTAATAATTTTGCTTGTACCATACCTTCTACAGAATTCAATTAAAAATAACTCTCCTTAGTCTTAATGCAAATTAAGGAATAAACATATAAAATTTATAACGTTCATTAAGATTAAAATGGTAAACTAATGTTCTGCAATTATAATAAAATAAAATTAACCAAACAATGCACACCAGCTAATATTCTACAATTCTAAAAATTTAAAATTGGATACCAAACAATACACGCCAGTGTTCTGCAATTCTAAAATAATTTTATTAAAACAAAACAACAAACAATGCATACCAACCAATCATCTGTAATTAAGACCAAACAACAAACAACAAACAACAAACAACAAATAGTGCACACCAGTGCTTTCCAAATGTGAACGTAAGTTCAAATAGTCTTGTGGGGTGTATTCATTCTAAAGCCCAACCTCTACTAAAGCCTTGTAAATGGTCTCATACATCATTTGCATTGTTTTGTTCTGTACAATAAATGAGAGATAATTTCAAAATCAAAAATTGATCCTTCTGAAGTATATACACTGATGGGCAGATTAATAGAATTTTTTGATTTTCCATTGGAAATAAATTAATCCAATGAAAAAAAAAGCAACAAAGTTATCCATCTCTGAAGCTGCCTTTAAAATGCAGAAGTACAATGCTATGCGTTGAAGTCATAATTGATTCCTACCTGCCAAAATAAAATCCTTTATGTAGCAGCACCTGTTGGATTGCCTTCTGGCCACATCGGAATAACAATATAACCTGCAAACCTCTCACGTGCTCTGATTTTCTCAGCAATTTTAAGTGCAATTTCCATGGGAATCAAATTGTTCGCACCTACAGCAAGAAAATATGCTCACAATTAGTATTCAGTAAAAGAATTTCAAGCATAAAAGCTTAGGAAAGCATTTATGTATTGTCATATCAAAGGCCACTTCACTCTCAACTAAAACACGATGTAGCAAATCAAAAGAACTACCTAATCCTATTAAACCGTCTACCGTAAGTAAAGACACAGAAAAAATCCTCAACCAGTCTCCTTGTTTGCTACAACCAAGCAAGTTTCACTACCATCACATTGAAAGCTTATGCTGTTAGAGAAAGGAGTAACTCTGAGCAGCGCGAATAGCCTTTACATATGCATGGCTACTAATAGAATTTTTATTTTATTTTTTAAAAAATTATAGAAAAAAAAAGAAACAAAAAATCATATGCATAAGGTAACCAAAAGCTTAAATTGTCAATAGATGAGCCCAATAATGTATGTTATGTTAACACTCAATAAATAGTGTTGAAAAAGAAGAAGCATAGTAACATATCCTCCTCTCATGGCATCCCAATCAGCCTTTTTTCTTTCATTCTTAGCTAAAACAATAGAGCCCCAATGCAAGGGCAATTGAACCCACAATTTTTAAAAAAATATGAAGTTATCACCCCAATTAATTATTGAATAGGTCCTTAGAAAATCAATATTCTGTAAGTCATTATTGAACCTCACCTCTGAAATTCATTAGACATTCCACCATAATCTCCTCCATATCTACCTTGATAAATGAGAGCTTGCTCTGCAAAAATTGGCTCATAGTTTAGCATCCAAAATAATATGCTATAGTCTAGTACTTGCAGGGAAGCAATCGATGAAGCTATGTTGCCATATTAGCCTTCAGTACATCATAATGTGTTTTAAACAGAAACATGTATTGAAACTATAAGAAGCTAGCCTTTTTATATTAAACAGTGAATCTAATCAATTCAAATCGAATAGTCCATGTAAATAAAACCCAGCAGCCTAATCGACTATACAGTGCCCATAATCACTTCAAGTAATTGTCTATATGCCTAAACACTTCATTCGTGACTCCATTGTTTTACTAATCCTTGGTGAATGTAGCTCAAGAAAACAAATAATTTAAAGCACCTCTAATAGGTCAGATTTGTAGATTACTGCCAATTTGTTTTCTTTAGCTTTTCTTGATTTGGATTGGATTAAAATTTAGCAGAGTGATGCTACATTACTGAGAGATTTAACTCACATGTGAGTTGCAAAATTCCTTTCTAATCCCCCTGCTTTTTCTTTTCTTTTCTTTTGCTAGGCTAAGAAAATGCAAATTCAGGGAGGCCAAAGCTAACAGTAAATATCATATCTCTGGAAATGTTAAACATAGGGATGAGATCAAAATCCAATTTGAACCATAAACTTCCTTAACCAATGATTTAGTAGAAACACCAAATTCAACACCTAAACTGAACATGTTTCACTGTTTAGTGAATCCTACCAAACACAACTTTCCTTTCTTAAAATGCAGCAACAAAATTCACAAATTCTGAACCACAAAACAACACCCAAAATATTTAAAAGCAAAAAATATCAAAACTTTCTTCTGGGTATTGTAGTAACCAATTGTTAAAACAAAACCCTCTGCTGGGTTGCTAAGATTTTAATGTAACATTAAACTGTACTGTTTCTGTGATTGTTCATATGCATATATAGAATTTGGATTTGGTTGCTTGTTCAAAACTATAGAATTGATTGTAACATTAATTTATAGAATTGATTGCTCAAAACTATTGTTCATATGCATTAAACTGTTTCTGTGATTGTAACATTAAACAGTCATAATTGATTGTTCAAAACTTTATATGATCAAATTCATCAGCTCAGGATCATTTATGGAAATTATAGAATTTGCATTTGTTTGTAATTTGATCAATTATTAAAGGGTGACATTACAAACAAACATGTGCTAGCTTGGTAAGGCATGGTTGCTAAGAAAAGGGTATTTTATCTAACATTCTTCAATCTAAGATATGTCTCAGTGTATTAGTCATGCGTGCGCGGGTTAAAGTACCTGTGCAGCATCCTTAAGTGGGCCCCAACATTCCACGCAGTTGTATTTCTTCAAACTGGAATGAAAATAAACTCGAACAAATGCATCCAATAATTCTTGATGCTCAGTGAAAAGCAGAGAATCTCCATGCATCACAGCGTTAAGAACCTGCCATGCCATGACAGAGAAAAGTTCAGCTATAAATCATCCATCCCAACTCAATAATCTATTCAATTAAAAATTAAAATCCTCAATAAGGTCTAAAACTCAGCATATCAACTCATTGAATTGCTGATAATAAGGTCTAAAACCTGTCAAATTTCTATCATTTGTTTCTTTGGATGTGTTAAGTGCTTTCTACATAGATGAGGTATCGGTGTTGCCTAGTTGAACTTACCAATGGCAACTCCTTTGAGAACATGTGGTATCTAAACTTTGCTGCGAGGTCTAGTAAGAGATTAGGCCCGCTCACATAACAATGGACGTCTAAATACATATCCCCTTTCACTTTCACTCAGCAATGACATCATCTTTGCTGTACCATCCTTTCAACTGCCACAGAACACACACAGGTAATGCAAACATGTAATATCACAAAAACATCAACCCAACCAAACACCCAGAAAAATATTCAGATTCAAGCAAAAAAAATATTTAGATTCAACCAACCAAACATCTAGATTCAACAAAAATATCCAGATTCAACTTTACAAACCCACAAAAATATTCAGATTCAAGCAAAAAAATATCATGAATTGTAACTTTACAACCAAACCATCCCAATTAATTATTGAATAGGTCCTTAGAAAATCAATATTCTGTAAGTCATTATTGAACCTCACCTCTGAAATTCATTAGACATTCCACCATAATCTCCTCCATATCCACCTTGATAAATGAGAGCTTGCTCTGCAAAAAGTGGCTCATAGTTTAGCATCCAAAATAATATGCTATAGTCTAGTACTTGCAGGGAAGCAATCGATGAAGCTATGTTGCCATATTAGCCTTCAGTACATCATAATGTGTTCTAAACAGAAACATGTATTGAAACTATAAAAAGCTGGCGTTTTTAAATTAAGCAGTGAATCTAATCAATTCAAATCGAATAGTCCATGTAAATAAAACCTAGTAGCCTAATCGACTATACAGTGCCCATAATCACTTCAAGTAATTGTCTATATGCCCAAACACTTCATTCGTGACTCCATTGTTTTACTAATCCTTGGTGAATGTAGCTCAAGAAAACAAATAATTTAAAACACCTCTAATAGGTCAGATTTGTAGATTGCTGCCAATTTGTTTTCTTTAGTTTTTTCTTGATTTGGATTAAAATTTAGCAGAGTGATGCTACATTACTGAGAGATTTAACTCACATCTGAGTTGCAAAATTCCTTTCTAATCCCCCTAATTTTTCTTTTCTTTACTTTTGCTAGGCTAAGAACATGCAAATCCATAAGCAATCATTGCCCATAAAAAGTATCCACGCCGAAGATTCTTCTTTGACAGCCAATCATACCTGCAAGGATCAAACAATTTGAGCTTATGATCCACAAATGACTTGCCAAAATGGTATAAATTGCATCCATCTTTCACCTTGTTTTAAGGAATGAAACTTGAAAATGAAGAACGTGGAAAAGAATCGAGAAAAATATATTATTCTGAACCTCACTCAATGCTTCACTGAGTGAAAAGGTACAACGCCCAAGTATTACAGCCTAAAATGTTGCGAAATTCACCAACCTTTATACACTATTAGTACTGCATTCACTTTATTTAGCATAATATATAGGTTTATATATGTGTATACATATAAAAATAAACACGTGGTGTTTACAATGAAATAAATATCAATGTAACAAAAAATTATATATGTATATACATACAAAATCACGTATATGAACATAATTAATTGATTTCTTTTTTATTTTGCGAAAACGACATCATTTCTTGCATTATGCAAATAGAATGGAATCGTAGTGAATCGAAATGACTCTTAGTGAACCGTTGTGAATCACAATTGAATCATACAATTTACTCAAGATTCAACAGCACGATACAAATCATTTTGGTTGGAAACTCGTATCCAATCATGAATCGCACGATTCTAACCACCATGGTAGTAGGGTCTGTACAAACTACTAAGGAGTAACGACAAGTTAAATTACAATGAGCCAATGATGCATTTTCAGTAGAGTCAAAGAGGACAATAGTCATCATGGCTGGATTGCTCAAACCTTACTGAAAATGCTACTAGCAGTCCTGGTACGATAATGTCACCAAATCCAATGACGCTGTAGCCACCCCAAGGATCAAACATTCGAGGGATCTTTAGCAGCATCGGTATGCCATCTTCTCCAATCTTATCACCCCGAGCAACCTGTATGAAAAAGAAAAGCAGTTTTCATTTTAAACAATGGCCCTTTATCAAGTGAACTGTTATTTCATCATGATTTGAAGAAATACTTACCACAATCATGACACTCTCTTGGAACCACAATTTAGAAACAAACACCCAAAAAATGTCATACAAGAAAGCGCAACTGAGAAGAACAGTTCCAACCTGATTGCATCAAGAAGAATGAGAGATCATCTTAATTACATCAATTGAGAAGCAATAAGCCTCTCAGCATGAATGGAAATAAATATTAAAAAAAAAAATACTAGTTCTAACCATTTGCATTCCTCTGAGCCAAAATATTGACATATAATAAAACTGATTTCCTGAAGCATTCAAATGCAGCAATGAAAGCGATTTTATAGGAATTAATATTTGCCATTGACTTATTAAACATGAATAACAAATTAGCAGGAGGAAGAAATGCATAGCTTTTGCTTCTCAACCAGTTCCAAATTTGTAAAATTGCACCTTGCAAAAATTTAAATTGATTTTTTGAGGATCAATATCAAATACAGATCTGAAGAGGAAATTTTAGAAAGGTACATAATTACATACAGATCCTCAAGAGAAGCATCAATATCTAAACATACAAAATGTTAATCTTTTTACAAACATGTAAAATTTCAAACATAGAAAGATTTGAAAGTTAATAACTGATTAAGATTATTTTCATTTATAAAATATGAAATCTCCCTAATAAATCAGTTATAATTTCTGTCACAAAAACTTTTGCATACAAGAATTTCAATTTGGCCAATTTATGGTTCATACCTGCAATAAAATCAGGTATCTGTTTGTCACTCCATTCTATTTATTAATCTGATTCACTAGCTGAGGAATGTTAGTGTCAACTATCTCTTTCAGATACGTGTTTTTTAAGTTTTGAGGATCATTTTATTCCTAGAATGCAATTGCCAAACATTTAATGTTGCCATATCAACAGTGGTTAGTTTATGAACATTTTCCTGTCTTCATTAAGACTCAAACATCCTTAGTGTTAATAATTTGCTTCAGGACTGCTACATTGAATTTTTCTTTGATTAGTTTCAGTCAATAACTAGAATTTGATTTTTTTTCCAGTCAATAAGTCCTATTCTTTAGGATATTGTTAGTGTTATCAGAAATCTTGGTTTGTTACCATAATTTTTGGGATTCATTATCTTTTCAGTTTAGATATTCTTACTATAAATGTAATGCACCAGTATGAATGAAAATGATCACTCTTTGCTGCATCATATCAGCTTTTATCATTTCCTGTTTTTTATTCTTTCATTTCATTCAATTTCTATTCTTCATTTTTTCTGTTTTTCTTCTCTTCTCAAAAACTAACATTTGGTATCAGAGCTTCATTCTTACGGGACCTGTGAGTATCCATGGAAGCAAAAACTGAATTTCCTAATTTTTCTCAAGCTGCTCCACATATTTTTGATGGAGAAAATTACCAACTTTGGGCTGTTAGAATGGAAACTTATTTGGAGGCTTTGGATCTATGGGAAGCCGTCGAAGAAGATTACGAAGTTGCTCCGCTGCCAAACAATCCGACGGTAGCTCAGATGAAAAGCCACAAAGAGAAGAAGACCAGAAAATCAAAGGCCAAAGCAGCGTTGTTTGCTGGTGTTTCAACAACAATTCTCACGAAGATCATGAATCTCAAATCAGCAAAAGAAATCTGGGAGCATCTGAAGACGGAATATGTAGGAGATGAAAGAATACGAGGAATGCAAGCGCTCAATCTAATAAGGGGATTTGAGCTGCAAAAGATGAAAGATGCTGAGACAATCAAAGAATATTCAGACAGATTGCTTGGCATTGCCAACAAGGTAAGGCTTCTTGGCACTAAATTTGATGATTCAAGAATTGTTGAAAAAATTCTTGTTACGGTGCCTGAAAAATATGAAGCCTCAATAACCACCTTGGAAAATACTAAAGATCTGTCCAAGATCACCTTGGCAGAATTATTGAATGCTTTGCAGGCTCAAGAACAAAGGAGACTTATGAGACAAGAGTGTACCGTAGAAGGAGCCTTGTCAGTCAAACACCAACATGAAAGTTCTGGGAGTAGTTCAAGCAGTCGCACTCGAAACAAAGGTGGAAGCTCAAGGAGAAATTTCCCACCTTGTGAACACTGTGGCAAAATGGGTCATTCTCCATTCAAGTGTTGGAAGAGGCCTGATGCAAAGTGTAGCAAGTGCAATCAGCTTGGACATGAAGCTGTGATTTGCAAAAGCAAATCTCAAGAACCAGAGGAAGAAGTCCATGTAGCTGATCAAGATGAAGAAGATCAGATGTTTGTGGCAACGTGTTTCTCTACAAAGGTCTCCTCAGAAAGTTGGCTCATTGACAGTGGTTGTACAAACCATATGACCTTCGACAAAACTCTTTTTAAGGAGTTAAAGGCTACTGCAATGACTAAAGTCAGGATACGGAATGGTGGTTATATCGCTACAAAAGGAAAAGGAACCATTGCAATGACAACCAGTTCAGGTACAAAAACTATTTCAGATGTTCTTTATGTACCCGATATTGATCAAAATCTGCTGAGTGTTGGCCAGTTAATTGAAAAAGGATTTAAGGTGTCCTTTGAAGACTTGTATTGTCACATCTACGATGCCGTTGGAAAGGAGATTTTACGTGTCAAAATGAAAGGGAAAAGCTTCTTATTTGATCCTACAGAGGAGGAGCACACAGCTTATTCCACCAATGTCAACATCACTGAAGTCTGGCACAAAAGGCTTGGGCATTGTCATCTTCAACGAATGCTCAAGATGAAGAAAGATGAAGTGACAAGAGGACTACCAGTTCTGGTTGATCACTTGCCAAATTGTCATGCTTGTCAATTTGGTAAACAAAGTAGGAAACCATTTCCTAAATCATCCTGGAGAGCAACACAGAAGCTGCAACTAGTTCATACAGATGTGGGAGGACCTCAAAGAACACCATCTCTTCAAGGTAGCCGGTATTACATTCTTTTCATTGATGATTTTACAAGAATGTGTTGGATTTATTTCCTAAAGTTCAAGTCTGAAGTTGCTGGAGTATTCTGGAAGTTTAAAAAATTGGTGGAAAATTCAAGCGGTTGCAAAATTCAAATCTTAAGGTCTGATAATGGAAAAGAGTACACTTCTGCAGAATTTAACCTGTTTTGTGATGAAGCTGGCATAAAACATCAGCTCACTGCTCCTAACACTCCACAGCAAAATGGAGTGAGTGAAAGGAAGAACAGATATGTCATGGAGATGGCTAAATGCATGTTGCATGAGAAGGTGTTGCCAAAAAGTTTCTGGGCAGAGGCAGCCAATACTGCAATATTTCTGCAAAATCGACTTCCAAGTGTAGCCGTTGAAGACAAAACTCCATTTGAAGCTTGGTATGGGTATGTACCTTCACTAAGTTTTCTTAAAGTATTTGGTTGTTTGTGTTTTGTCCATGTTCCACAGGTTAAGAGAGACAAGCTTGACAAAAAAGCAATTCCAGGTATCTTTGTTGGCTATAGCACAATTTCTAAAGCCTACAAAGTATATCATCCTCAAACAAGAAAAATGGTGATAACTAGAGATGTTCACTTCAATGAGGATGAGCAATGGGACTGGGAAAATTCACAAGAAACTAACAGACCTTCAGAAGAATTTAGAAGCAATTCTTTTGAGGAGGAGGCAACAGACCAGTGGGAAAATAAATTGGTAGATGATCCACCA